TAAATATGATGTTAAACAGAACTTCATCTGTTACTTCCAAACTTGAAGGAGAATGGCAGCCACCTGTGATAGTCAATATTGTCTACTTGACAGGATCTAGAGTTATCTAGGAGACAAGTGAGAGGCTTACAGAATACTGCTAGTGTTCAGTACTCTTTGCCTCCTGACTGCAGGCGCCTCACCAGGACTCTGGGGCTATCACAGACTATAAACTGTGAGCCAGAATAGATCCTCCTTTCAAAATTTCTATTTTGTTGAGTATTTGTTATAGCAACGAGAAAGGTAGCTAAAACCCCTAGTCTTTACTTGACAACCCCCAACATAAAAATAATGAGGAAAGCAAGTTCAGCTGTATTTGACCCTGAATTTCACAATACTGCTAGATGTAGAGCATTTTGCCTTCACATCATGTGTCCAACAAGAAATAAACTAAATTCTAATTAAAGGTGTTACTGATGGAGCCTGAGGGCAAGGACAGGGGAGGATTAACAGGCACCAGAAGAAAAAGTAGAAGTACTGGGCAAACACTGAACAAACTCTGTGGTTTTCTTTGTGTTTATGGGCTTTTTTGTTTCTTTGTTATTGTTGTTGTTGCTTTTGCTCTTTTTTTGCCTTATGGCTTTCTGTTTGCTTTTGTATTCGTTTTGTTTATTGTTTTTACTTATTGTCTTGGGGTTTTTTTGGTCTATTTTTTAAGAAAGAAAGAACTGAAGTTGGGTGGGTAGGGAAGTGGGGAGAATCTGTGAGGAGTTGGAGAAAGGGAAAAACATAATAAAATACACTCTACGAAAATGTTTTAAATAAAAAAGTTAAAGAAAAAATAAAATGCAACAATTTTGAAAAAAGAAAGAAAAAGTGGAGCAGTTCTGAAGACTGAGTCGTTCCTGGTAAGGAAGGCCCTAATACAAAGTACACACCCTGAACACAGATGTGACTCTACAGTGTTGCGGAGGGGTGAGAATGGAAAGCTTGGAGGAGTGTCTGTTTAGGACAAGCATACAGGCAGGGCGTGACTTCACTCAGATGGATCCCTAAAGCCAAAGAGGATGTAAAGGATCCATATAAGTGAAGGAGAATTAGATACTGTAACTCCTCCATAAATGATGTCCACAAATGCAACTGCACAGAAAACTGCTGTCAAAAGAGGGCGCTCTCAAGCTAGGGACCTTGTCCACAAAAAAAAAAAAAAAAAGGTAAAGGTGATGACAGTGTGTACAGTAAAGAGAATGTGTGGCAGTTCTCATCAGTAGCCACAGACTTGACAACTGTCGTGTTCCCTCCTGGAGTACTGTCTTCAAACAGCATTCAAGACTGATGGAAACCAACCTGAATCAGAAATATTAAAAACTAAAAAGAAAAAGAAGAAACAGGTATTGATTGAATTTAAGAAACAAAAAATTCAAGATTCTATTGGGGATAAATGCAGATGATAAAGGAGTGGGTGGTACTGAACTGAAACACCAGGGTGGGAGCTCTGGGGGTGGGAATAAGCTAAGCACAGGATAAAACAGTGAAGGGACAAAATGACGGAATGAGAAGACAAGCAAAGAAGGTGCAACATAAGACTACTTGGAGAACCTCAGTCAAAACAACCACCCCAAACTAATACCTGAAATTAGAACAGAAGGAAGGTGAATATGGAGAAAAAAGAATGCTGACTCTTCATCTTCAGAAGGCTGTCACGTACCAGGAGATTAGCCCAGAAAAGTCCTAGGAACAGCGTAATGGAACTGTTAGACTCTACAGACCACCCCAATAAAAAGAGAAAGAAAAAAATCTTAAGAACTGCAGATAAAAGGTTAGTTACAAAACTATGTGCATTAGACTGTTGGAGTTGTCCCAACTGGACTGCAGAGCCGAGCCGTGTAAAGCAGCATTCCGACTCTGAAGAAGTAGAAAGCAAGCCCTTCAAACGTCAAGGCTGTAATAAACTTGGAAGTTGAAGGACTCGGGGTTAGTGTGTACACGGGCCATTGCTGAGGAGTGTCCTACAGGGGAGCTCTCACCTAATTCTAGGTAAGGGGGGAAACTGCCGTGGTTGGATGAAGATGCAGAGCTGGGGTGAAAATAGCAGTGTAGACAGACCTTTGTGTGGTGGTCACCGTTTGTTCTGACAAAACAGAACCACATTGAGGTAACAGGAGGATTTACTGTGGGAGCTGACCTACATAGTTGCAGAGCTGGCTGAACAGTCTACATGGGGCCATTGCTTCTGTCTAGTATTGCAGTGCAGATGAGCTGTGGGTTCTATTGTGCGAAGTTTCACTCTTGGCTCTTAGAAGGGCTCCCTATCACCCAGCTCCCTGATAAATACATATAGGCTTATTATTACTTATAAATTCCCGACCTTAGCTTGACTTGTTCTTGCCAGCTTTTCTTAACTCAAATTATCACAACTACCGTTTGTCTCTGGGTTTTTATCTTTCTCTAATTTTGTATACCTTTCTTTACTTCTTTCTCCGTGGCTTACTGTGCAGCTGGGTGACTAGCCCCGGATGTCCTCCTCGTTCTCTTGCTCTTCTTGCCTCGTTTCTATATATTCTCTCTGCCTGCCAGCTCCACCTATCCTTTATCCTGCCTTTCTATTGGCCGTTCAGCTCTTTATTAGACCATCAGGTGTTTTAGACAGGCAAAGTAACGCAACTTCACAGAGTTAAACAAATGCAGCATAAACAAAAGCAACAGTCACCTTAAAATACTATTCCCCAACAGGGTACAGAAAGGCAGAGGGAAGAAGGATAAACTAGAACCCTCGTGGGTTCTGCTTTCTATAAGGAGCGATTAACAGGTGCCCTTTTTTGTACATAGGTAGAGAGCTGGGGTGGGGGTGCTGCAGTTCCATTTCCTGGTGTCCCCCCTTTTGAGATTCTGTGTCTCTTTTATTTTTAGCTTGATTCATTTCTGTATGCTGTGTCTCATGTACAGGATACAGTCCAATCTTTTCCTATAACTAGATGAGCCCATGCATCTGTGCATATTTAGTCTTGTGAGTGTATATATGTATATTAGGTTGCATCCTCTGTTTCACAATGTGATGTCTTTTCTTTGCAGTTCAATTTTACTGATTTCTTTTGAAATTTAGAGAAGTTAATTTTTTAAATTTGAAAAACAGTGATTAAATTAGGTGAGGTTTCACTGTATACTGAGTACTATGCTAAATTCCCTACAGAGATTATCTCTTAATTCATTTAACCTAAGAAGTCATACCTGACATTTTCTTCTTCTTACAAATGAGAAAGCTGATAAAGGATGAATAAGTTGTCAGAGTTTCAAATCCTTCCCTCTTCTCCCCACCTCTTTCCAGTTCCCAGGCAACCACTCCACGATTTTTAAAAAGCTAATCCCACAGTTGTCTTTTGTTTGTTTAGTCACTGTTTTTTAGCAGTTTGGTTATGATCTACCAAGACATGTTTTTCTTCTAGTTGGGTCTTGGTGGTGTACTGACCTTGAGTTGTGTGTGCTTCTGCTGTTAGCCAGAAACTAATTAGGCGTTATTCAAATGTCTGCCTTACCCAAGTTTCTTCTCTTCTCTTGGATTCTTGCAACTGCTTAGATTTCCTAAACCGCTCTCAAGTTGCCTGAGGGAGTTGTGTTTGTTTTCATTTTCTCGGAAGCCGGCCTTTTCCCCTGCTCCTGTTTGCCAGAGAGCTCCTTCAATTTCTTTGTCTCAAGTAGGTGTTTTCAACACTTACTTTGTTTTGTTTTGTTTTTCCGACACAGGGTTTCTCTGTGTAGCCTTACCTGTCCTGGAACTCACTCTGTAGACCAGTCTGGCCTCAAACTCCGGAGATCCACCTGCCTCTGCCTCTGCCTCCCGAGTCTAAAGATCTACGCCATCACTGCCCGGCTTTCGACTCTAACATTCTCATTTAGTTTTTCCTTTGCAGTCTCATCTCTCTGTTTATAGTTTCTGTCTTTTCCTTTGAGTTTTTCTTTTACTTCATGGGACACAATTTCAAAGCTACTGTAAGTCTCTACTAAATCAAATGATTCTATATCGGCATCAATATCTTGTCTGTTTTTATGTCCTTTGATGACAGAGCACATACCCTTTTTTGTGGGACTCACTTGAGTCGCGCTCTCACTGTGGCTCTGGATGACCATTCTTTGTAAAGCCGTAGTTTGGAGTTGTCCCTGAGACATTAAAATCGTAGAACATGTGGAACTTTGGAACTTGGGTTCTATTAAGTCCTGATAGATGTTTTTAGCTTCGTTTAGTAGACATTCAGCCCAGTTACTTCTGATAATAAGTTCTCATCCTTTAGAAAAGGTATTTGTTTTTATTTTATGCATTTGAATATTTTGCCTGCATGTATGTATGTGCTACACATGCATACAGTGCTTGCAAGACCGAAAGAGGGCGCTGAGTACTCTGAATCTGGAGTCACAAATGGATGTGAGCTACCCCATGAGTGCCAAGTGCTAGTATGTCCTCTGTGAGAGGAGCAATCTCTTAACCACTGAGCAACCCCTCTACCCCTCAGCTCATCCGTAGCTGTCTTTCCTGTCTACGCAGTATTTCCGTTCTGAGTGCTCAGCATTTGTGTACTCTGTTGGTCTTGCCTTGTGTGCAAGTGCAGTTTCGTAAGCTGAGACATGAACATTCTCACTGCTTCCCCCTCACTCTCCAGCCTTCCTGGTTCTCTTCCCAGAATGCAGTGGGTTCAGTTAGAGTGTTAGATGCCCATGTGGCTTCAGCTGACTGTGGAACTTCTGACTTGGTAACACCGGGCTCCTGCCCTGCTGTGCTGTGCCTCCCTATGACTGCCCTTAGCTTTACCTGAAAAACAGAGTCCTGCCACATGAGTCTGATTCTATGTGTTTATATGTAGAAATCAAGATTGTCTGTGATTATGAATTTTGTATACATATGTTTAAATAAATTAAATGCACTATTGTAATTCTTTTTGAATCTGTGGATTGTTTATATTAATGAGCAAACTAATATATGGCTGATGTTTTTAAGATTTCATAGTGTCTAATGTACTTTCCATTTTCAGATGGTCTTCTGATTGTCGGTGTTCACTCAGCTAAGTTTCCAAATGAAAAGGTCTCAGACAATATCAAGAGTGCTATCCTTCGATACGACATCACCCACCCTGTGGTTAACGACGCAGACGCCAGCCTCTGGCAGGAGCTTGAGGTCTCCTGTTGGCCAACACTGGTCATACTGGGACCTCGTGGAAACATGCTGTTTTCTTTGATTGGAGAGGGACATAAAGATAAACTATTTTCATATACTTCTATTGCTTTAAAGTATTACAAAGACAGGGGACAGATCAGAGATGGAAAAGTTGGAATAAAACTCTTTAAAGAGTCTCTGCCACCTTCACCACTGCTGTTCCCTGGCAAAGTAGCCGCAGACCACGCTACAGGTAGACTAGTGGTAGCCGACACTGGACACCATCGAATCTTGGTCATTCAGAAAAGTGGACAGATTCAATATAGCATTGGAGGTAAGGTTTGCTTCTGACGTACTATGTAATATATTTTTCAGTTTAAAAATAGTTCAAGTAAATATACAAAACAGCCTGAATTGGTTTCTGACTTTATCACCAAGTTATTTTGTTATTTAGTCTGTGGTATCCGAGTTAACCTCCCTTTCCTTTTCAGAACAAACAAAACCCAGAAGCTCCTTGTCAAAAGGAGGAAATCATTAAGTTATATGGTCTTTAGGTATATTTGTGTGTTCCATCCTGTTTTTTTAAATAAAAATGTCGCATTTATTTACTCATGGAAGTATGCCAAAATTTTAGGTCAATGATGTTTTAAGTAGAAGTTTCATGTTTTCTTCTCTAACAAGATACTATTCATATAGTTTTCAAGACAGGAACTCAGGACAGTAACCAAGAAACTTGGTATTTAGATTATAAAGTAAACAGGCTAGGATTTGTACATAATTTTATTTTTCTCTTATTTCATCCTTAAGAACTAAAGCATACATCTGGGTCCTTCCCCTTTCCATGAGAGTACAGGCCATCTCATTCCGTATCTCTCTGCCTTAGATGAGAACATGCCTCCGGTTTCTATTTGCACTGTTAGTCAAAATCTCCTAAGTGATTCAGACTAATCCGCTTTATCTGGACTGAACTGACTGACTCACAACAAATTAGTCAGGGGAGGGGTTGTGTCCTTACCACAATCCCATCTCATGGCCTAGGAAACATTTTACACATGAAGTAGATCAGCTGCTCCTAAGCCATTGCTCAGTGCAGTATGCCGAGTATGCTCATCTTTTGTGTCAGCTGAGGATGTGTTGTTTGTGGAGCTTTTTTGTTCGTGCTACTTGTTATTTTTACTTGTAACAGGCAGTTATGAGAGTTGTTGCTTGAAAATGTCTTAAATTTTACTAGTCTCTATGGGTCTCGGTGTGTGTGGTATGTGTACATGCTCATGTGAGTCTGTATGCTGACACATGAGATTGTGTGTCCCCTCGAGTGCTCTCCACCTAATCTTTCGAAACAGGGTCCCCCAGTGAACCTGAAACTTGTTGGTTTGGCCAGGCTTGCTGACCACTGAACTCTAGAGATGGCCTTGATTTGGCCTCTAACCACCCCCTCCCCCACTGTGTTGCTGCTGCTGCTCTTGCTATTGTTTTAAATAGGGTCTAACTATGAAGTCCTAAGTGGCCTGGAACTTTCTTTGTAGACCAGACTGGTCTCAACTCATATAGATCCACCTTCTGGCATTAAGAGTATGTTTAACCATGCCCGGATTTTGTGTACGCTGGCGATCCAAATGCAGATCTTCATGGTTGTATAGCAGGCACATTACCAACTGAGCCTTCTTCTCACCCAGATTTTAATTTGTTATAATATTAAAAATGGTGTAGGTCTCCTTTCTTAAGATACAGGGTCTCACTATGCAGCCCTGGCTGTCCTAAAACTCTCTAGGTAGCTCAGTCTGTCCTGGACTCACAGAGATCCATCCACCTGCCTCTGCTTCTTAAATCGAGATTAAAGGCATGTGCTGCCATACCCAGCCCAACAGTGTTCTTTGTTAACAGACAACATCAGCAAATGATGTTCTCAAGTGTGCCTCAAAGAATACTGCTGTGTCCTGACATACTCTTTGACCTGGTGGGTTTTAGACAGTCTCTGTCTCAGGCTCAGGCTGGCCCGGAACTCACCTTGAATTCATAGCAGACCTGCCTGCCTGCAGTGTGCTAAGATTTATAAGCATAAGCCACCACACCCACCTAATATTATTTCTTATATTTATGCTTTATTGTGTGTTGGAGAGTAGAAGGGTGCTGTGTGTCCTGGCATAGAGGTCAGGGGATGCGGGTGGTCATGTCAGAAGTAGCAGGTGGCAACTGAAGTTCAAAGTGTCAGCCCACCAGTAAGAATCTCTTGATAGTCAGTCTCCATTAGACAAGGCCCCAAGACCCCAGACCCCAGAATGTCTTTTGCCCCTGCTGTGCCTTTACGTGTTTGCTACCAGGATCTTTCTCTGGTATCTGGCATGGTGTGAATGGAAGTGGGGAGACCCCCACTGCCTGTAATGTAGTGTGTTTATCTCATGGAAACATCCTGTTCTTCTGGGCATTTTTCCTGTGGATTACTGTGAAGATAATTTCTTCCTAACTGATAATAATACTGTCTAATTGACAATAGTATTAGCTTATATAGAGTTTTGATGAATAAAAATAAATGCAAGGAAATGTTACACAGCCAAGACCTATGCGTTTCACCTAAGGAGCTGCATAGATTGTAACTCAAGTTAATGATTAAGAAAAACAATTGAAGCTGGGTGGTGGTGGCACACGCCTTTAATCCCAGCACTCGGGAGGCAGAGGCAGGCAGATCTCTGTGAGTTCACGGCCAGCCTGGTCTACTAGAGCTAGTTCCAGGACAGGCTCCAAAGCTACAGAGAAACCCTGTCTCAAAAAAACAAAAGAAAAAGGAAAAAGAAAAACAATTGAGTCCCCAGGAGCCAGACTGGCTCTAATTCTCTTAATGCTGGTAGATGCAGTCACAGGCTTCGGTGTACACCATTAGCTGAAACAAAGCCTTATAATAACTCCAGGTTGGATCAGATGTTTTGATAATAGCTTCGGGATGAAAAGCCCTGGAGTTCACAAGGATGCATCGCTGAGGTCAAGAATACAAAGCAGCCCAATCGTTACTAGCTGACGGACTTTCCTTGCTAGGGTTGGTGAATGACTGCAGGTGATGGCTAATTTCTTACACCTTTTTCTTCAATCTCCTGATACAGAAAAAACTTTTGAGAGTGGGTATGTGCCCTAGAGATTTAAAGTAGAGCTGAGTGATTCTTTTTTATGTATAAAAGTTTAGGTTTATGATTCTTTTAAGTTTTCTTATAAGATTACCTTTCAAGATAAGTAATAAAGTGAAGTAAAAGACCTGACTAAAAAGAATAGCTTACTTGCCACATGGTTAGTTTATAACAAGTTGCTTGAGTGTGAATGTATATGGGATGTTGGGATAATTTGTTTTTCACCTGTAATATGTAAAATGTTTAATTGTGTAAGGGATATGGAAAACATGCTATCTTTTTACTGTTTATTTTGTATTCATTATAATCATTCACTTAAAAAGCAGAATGTAACTACACTGTAATTTTTTTATTGCCTGAAAGATTTTGCTGGGGTATATAAGCTGTAAGGATAAGAATAAAGATAGAGTTAAAATGGGCTAGAAGGAAAACATCAAGAATGAGAGAATTAGAAGGAACTAGAAGGAAAATGTCAAGAAAGAGAAAAGGAAATCACCAGGAAAATCAAGAATAGAGAATACAAAAATAGACTAAGGAAAGTTCTGAAGGGAACCTTCAAGGGAGAATGTGAGTGTCTTTTTCCCTAGCCCCCTGATAGAAAAGTCCAGTATGCCCTGGCGCTGTGGGTTCCTTTGAGTCCATGCCATCTGGAGGCTACCCCACCAGCAGCAGTAAGGGGATAGCTCATAGGAGCCGGTTCTCTATTCCCACAGAATGGGCCAGAGGATCAGGCTTGGGTTGTCAGGCTTGGGAAGTTCTTTTCCTTGTGAAGCCAACTTGCCAGTCCCCAGCTGAGTTTTTAAAAAGATTTCTTTGGTCACATGTTTTCAAGAACTACTGATTTCACATGACTTTACAGATTTTCTTGGTGGTGGTATTGTCAGGTTCGCGGGCATTTCACTCTGGCAGTGTCTCCAGGATATTCCAGGTTGAGATCTTAAGGGACTGCATAGAGCTCTTCTCCCATCTCTTACTTTTTCTGCAATCTCTTGAGCTTAACAACAATAATAGTGTTACTAGTAGTGGTGAGTGATGGCCAGCCACATGCCTGCTTCGTTCTGAGCACGCTGCCCGAATTTCCTCATTTTTACTCCCGTAAGGCTGTGAACCCGGGCATTGCTAGTTCTGCTTTACAGAAGTGGCTACTGACCTGTAGACTCTGGGAAGCAGCAGTTGTGTACTGCCGTGTCAGACTGTCCCTTCTTGGAGCTATAGTGTTCCAAAACCTGAGACTGTTGCCTGACTTTAGGACAGGGAAACAGGGATGGGAAGGAGTGTCTCCTTGGGCTTCTTGACTCGGGAAGACTGGTGGCTCTCGAGCTATAATACTGTTTACAGCAGTTTTGAGTGCGAGGATTTTTCTAGGGAAGGAGTGTATGTATGGCTTTGTTTTATTGCCAGAGGAGTCTATTGTCCAAATTGTTTTTAAAAGATTATTCCTTTGGGGGCTGGAAAGATGGCCCAGCAGTTAAGAGCACTTGTTCTTGCAGAGACCTGGTTTCCATTCCCAACATCCACATAGCAATTCACAGCCATCTGTAATTCCAGTTCCAGGAGATCTGATGGTCTCCTCTGATCTCTGTGGGTACCAGGCACACACATGATGCTTATACATATGTATGTGCAGGCAAACATACACACGCAAAATAAATCTTTTTTAATCCTTCTCTTAACTACTAATAGGTTAGTTATTTTTAACTTTCTAGTCTAGGTAGTAGGTACTTAAAATGCTTTTTAAAAGTATTTTCTTCTGCTATATTCTACCCAGAATAGATATAAGAGAAATAGAGGAAAGAAGCAAACATCTTCATTTTTCTATGTGTGTGATGTTTTGCCTGCACATATGGCTGTGCACTGTGTGTGCAGTGCCCTCTAAGGCGGGAGAAGGGCAGCATCTCCCTGAGACCAGTTAGCTAGCTGTGAGCTGCCATGTGGGTGCTGGTTGTTGAGTCCAGTCCTCTGGAGGAGCAGCCAGCACTCTTAGCTGCTGAGTCATCTCTCCAGCCCCATATCTTTAATTTTTAGATAGAAATACTGAAATTCTATGTTATTTATTTTTAAAAATTCCAGCATTAAATGCAGTTTTTTAAATTATTTATTTGGAGGATGTTACTTAGAAGTTGCTTTTTATTGTGGAAAAAAATGGTCTCACAACTATCTTGTCTTTTAGGACCTAATCCTGGAAGAAAAGACGGAGTGTTTTCAGAATCGTCTTTTAATTCTCCACAGGGTGTAGCTATTGTGAATAATGTCATCTATGTGGCCGACACTGAAAACCACCTTATAAGAAAGGTAATTTTCAATTTAATTTAAAATTTTAATAGTTCCAGTCAAGAAATTCTGATGTTGATCAGGTGTCCAGGGTCCTTGTTGGTTAGTAAGTATTTACCCAGACTGTGTAATGATATCCACTGTGAGGTATATCTTAAGAAAAGCAATGCATTTTCTTTGCTACTAAGTAGGACTTGGCCTATTAAAATGTTCAGTAGACATTTGTTATTAACAAATTATACATACATTTAGTGAAACATTTTGTATGTATTTATTTTATAAATATACATTGTGACTTAAAGAACTAAAATGGAGTTTTTTTAAGTATTGGAAACTCTTTCTAGACATTTGAATATGCTAATATATTATTGATATAGTTGGGGGAATATTTATTGTTTATTATATTCCCTTTTTTAGGTAGCACTTTGTTAATATCATTGTGCAAAGGTTGCAGGAAATGATGCGGTTTTAATTGCTGAGCTGTTCTGAATAATTGCGGAGTTATCCTATAGTTTTGTCATAGCTGTCTGATCGTTCTGGGAGTTGGTGAGAGGACGAGTCAGCACAGCAGAAGTGCTGTCCTGAGTTAGCTGTGCTCCATCCCCCTGCTTCACAACTTGGTGATTTCCAAGTATTGGACGAGATGCTATTCAAATGCTTGTTTACTGAAGTAGTGTAATCACAAAAATAGTGGACTTCCTAAAGTCAGTGTGCCTGCTGTGTCACAGGACTTAGTGTCTGTGAAGACAGGAAAAGTAACTGTTGTGTCTTCCGTTCTTTTTTCACAGAAATAGTTACTGCATTTTAGTTAGAAGACCTCGTTTGCAGGTGTCCTCTGAGTTCAGTTCCCTCTTACATTCTCTCACACAAACATTGCTCTTGTCTAGAACAATTTCTTGATTAACCTACAGGGTTGTTTGGGTGTTGTTTTTGTTGTTGTTTGTTTGTTTTGGTTTTTTGAGACAAGGTTTCTCTGTGTAAGAACCCTGGCTGTCCTGGAACTCACTCTGTAGACCAGGCTGGCCTGGAACTCAGAGATCCGCCTGCCTTTGCCTTCCTAATGCTCCAGTTAAAGGCGTGCAGCACCGCCGCCTGGCCAATTTACAGATTATGTTGCCTTTTCACACCGCCCCTTGCCATTCCCTCGCATAAGCAAACCATAGATAGCCATTTTGATACGCTTTTCTGCATGGGACCCTGAAAAGCCTCAGTGTCCTGTGCTCATGATTATCTTAATGATTTTATTGTGCTACACATCAAAAAGACCACCCAAGTAAGTTAGAACTCTCTAGTTTGTAATCAGTTTAACAGGTTTTGTAGTCCTAACTTTAAGTTTTTTTAGAATTTTTCAACTCCCAATTAAGAATTGTCACGCAAAGATAATCACCATCCCCAGCACTAGGATCAACTTTCTGTCTCTCGATAGGCCCTTCCTGAGGGATGGTTTCCTCTTCAGTCTTGCTTGATGTACAGTTCATCCATGAGGCAGCATGTTGGGACTTCATTCCCTTCTATTACTAGGAAATGGAAGGAATAATTGTGTATATTTAAGTGACAAGTCTGCTGTAATTACCCTTTAAAACATTGTTTTAAATATTTTGTGTGTTCTATTAGAATTATTCACATATTGAAAACAAAGTAACATGTATTGAATAAAGGCTTACTGAATTTTTTATAGATCGACTTAGAAGCTGAGAAGGTGAGCACTGTGGCTGGCATTGGCGTTCAAGGGACAGACACAGAGGGGGGAGAGAGAGGAGAGAAGCAGCCCATCAGCTCTCCTTGGGATGTCGTGGTCGGAACCTCAGGTACGAGAACTTAGCCACTGATGCCAGGATGTCTGCTAATAAAAATAGGATCTGATCTTTACAAAATTCTTTTCTGTTATGCAGGGGTGGCACACACCTTTAATCCCAGCACTCAGGAATCAGAGACAGGTGGATCTCTGAGTTCAAGGCCAACCTGGTCCATAGAGTTCTAGGACAGCCAGGGCTGTATGGAGAAACCCTGTCTTGAGGAGAAAAAAAAATATTTTCTAACTTTTTTAATTAAAAATATTCTTGAAATGATCATTTGGGTTAATTATGTAGCTTCTTTTATACATTTGTACTTATGGTTTGGAACTTACTGGTGGTGTAGAGCAGAGGCAGCCATAGGAATGCGCGTTCTGCCGGGTGGTGGTGGTGCACACCTTTAATCCCAGCACTTGGGAGGCAAAAGCAGAAGGATCTCTGTGAGTTCAAGGCCAGCCTGGTCTACCGAGGGAGTTCGAGGACAGGCTCCAAAGATATAGAGAAACCCTGTTTTGAACCCCCCCCATAAAAAAGAATGACCTGTTCTATATAGCATTATATTATACTTTACCAAGACCGATTAGCTGACTCACTCTCAGATCAGGCTCATTACACAATAAATTCTAATTTAAAGACTCTCATCTAATCTGCATCTTTAACTATTGTAGGTCTAAATATTTTTAAATTGATGGAATTATGGCTTCAGGAACTACAAAGATTATCTGTGAGCGTCATATCACTTAACAATGTCTTTGCTTACTTTAGTTGAAAAAGAAACTGAGATATCAAAGAGGAAGCTGACTTACCTTTTTCATTTAAAAAAAAAAACCCAAATATTGAAATAGGATAGCATCTTTTGAGTAATAAAATATTACCCTAATGAGTTAAGCAGATGCTGATAATAAGCGAGCCATGCCGTCTGTGTGGTCTGTGTTACCCGTGTCAGTATGCTAGCAGAAACGCCAGGGTGCTTGTCGCTGATCCCCAGCAGTGCTGAGATGACTGGTAGCTGCCTAAGATCAAACGTAGAGAAAATAAAATACATTGGAACTAGAATTTGAAACTAAGTGGTTCATGTGCTCATATATGCTTATTTGAATGACTTTGTGTTGAGAATTCTTGCCTTGCTTTGCTGTGCTAGCACCATATCTCAAGAGAGGGAAAAGTCTATGCTTTATATGTAAAATTAATAGCCAGTAGTTAACTAATGATGTTCGTATTTGCCACTTTATGTCTTCTGTATCTATTAGGAATTAACACAATGGTGCTATGTTAGGAAGACTTGTCAGACCTAATCCCTTATTTTTTCCACACAAATAGTGTTGTGAATGAGTTGCGTAAGCCTGAGCTGACCTGGGCTTCTCTCAAGCTGTGTCTTGAGTCTACATCTGGTTTGTGTGGTCTATGTAGCATGTTTGATTTTAACAGAAGGCAAACAACCCAAGAAGACAAACTGCAACATATATATCATAAGATTTTGCTCATATTCTATCTACATTGTAAACAGAATTCACCTTCATTTCTCGGCACCCAGACCCAAATAACCACACAGAAACTATATTAATTACAGCACTGCTTGTTCAACAGTTTAGTGTATTCCTACCTAGCTCTTATATCTTAAATTAACCAATTTCTATTAATCTGTGTATTGCCACGAGGCTGTGACTTACCAGAAAAGTTCTGGCGTATTTCTCCTTCAGCAGCTACATGGCATCTGCCTGACTCCACCTTCTTTCCTCCGCTATCTCTGCTTGGCTTTCCCGCCTTTCTATATTCTGCCCTGCCATAGGCCAAAGCAGCTTCTTTATGAACCAATGGAAATAAAACATATTCACAGCATATAGAGTATTTGCCTACTGTTGCTAGAACAGGGTTTGGGAAGAGTGCTGCTTGCTGCTCTTCTGTTGGTGTTCACAACCACCTAGAACTCTGGCTCCAGGGCATCTAAGAGTACAGCAGAAGCACAGGCACACAAGCTGTTCTAAGTTGGAAGACAGGGCTGTATACTGTACCGCTGTGAGGCTGTCTATGGGAAGGATGGAGACACAGATGGGCAAAGAACCAGAAATGTACAACTTATGTCTACCAGAATTTCATCGCTTAAAATCACAGTGTACTTAACTAAGGTAAATTACATAATGGCCAAGGAGTATTTTGAGTTTTATCCAGGCTAAAAGCTTTTCAGTTGTACCTTGTAGTGTGGTGTTGCTGGTTTTGTATCTTTGTATTAAAAATACCCCCATCTTCTCCCTAAGAAAAATTCTAACTCTATTGGCAGGTATTCTGTTAGGTTCTAAGTCAAGTGACATGCCATTTGAGATCTGCATTTTTATTAACCCCAGTTTTCAATTCTGCTTTCCCTCAGCTCATAGCTCTGTTCTGAACACATTCTGTGGTCGTGTGAATGAGAATGGCTCCATAGGCTCACACTTGAGTGTCTGATCCCTTAAGAACACTGAGAGTGTCATCCACCCCAGAAAGTGCTTCTTCTTGAACTCTTTCTAATGCGCCAAAAAATTTATAGTTTCCTTATATTTTACATAATTCATGAATGTGAGAAGACAGAATTATCAGAAAGAAAACATGAGAAATGGTTAGCTTGTAATATCTTTAAATAGTGGATTCCGTGTAGTGCACGTGCATGGAACACAACTACCCAGCATCATGGACAAGTGTCAGGCATCTGAGGAAGGGACCTCTGCTGGGTTTCCTGAAGAACTTAAGACACATGAAGCAATGGAGATACACGGTGGAAATACACCACACAGATGGAAATTTAAAAAGAAGGGGATGAAAAAAAATTTCTACACTAATGACTTCTAGAAAGAATAGTGGACGTGTGACCGTAGAGGGGGCTTGGGGTCTTCACGTGATGCTCGTTCTCAGGTTTCACTTGCAGTGCATATCGGATTAGTTAAACTTTCTGTATTACATTTATTTCTCTGTGTGATGTATCTAATTAAAAGTTAAACAGTAAAGAAAAAAGAGGTAAGAAAAAAGAGTGAAAAGTAACAAAGACAGATACAGTTGAATTTGTACTTGACCAAGAATCTCACCTAATAAACAACATACCTCAAGGAGACATTAAGAAATAGACTTTAAATGCCTGCTAATTCAAATATATATGTAATTTTAAAATATGTGTATTTTTGAATAGTGGCTGTATACATTTGACCTAATTATACAACTGCTACAATAAAGTAGAAATAATTAACAAAGTGAATTTTACAAAAGTAAATTTCATCTTAGCACGTTCCTATGACCTAATTCTCTGTGTTGCTGATGTCTGGGATGGGCTCATCTTTTAGCAGCCATTTCCTATGATTTCACTGATGCCAGACCATATGGTCAGAACCCTGCCAGTGCTGAGCGCTTCCGATGGTCCCTGGTTCAGAAGCCTTTATAGAAAGGAAAATGTGCTTGAGTCCCCTCAGCCTCCTCTGACTCTAATCAGCATATCTAGATACAAACCCAGCTGTTCTTACCTCACCTATAATGGTTAGAATCCAGCACAAGTGTGCTCAACTGATGGTCTGTAGACAAAATGTATTTTGGCCTTTACATACTGGGATATATTACATGACATCCGTTAATGTTCTATAAAATACCAGTAAATATTTTGCTTTAAATATAATCCAACGATGCAGGCATGTTTAAAAGAGTAAATTTTATGCATTGTGGCCAGTGCACTTTTTATTTTGAAAAACAGCTGTATCTTTATATCTAAAATTTGACAGGTTCTTTTTATATACAGTGATTTTATTGAAAAAAGATATGCTCTAATCATGCTTTCCCCCATCCTGACTCCTAGGTCCTCCCCTTCATCCTACCTCCTCCTAGTCCTCCCCATCATCCCAGCTCCTAGTCCTCCCCATCATCCTAACTCCTTCTAGGTCCTCCCTATCATCCCAACTTCACCTCCTTTCTTTTTCTTTTTTTAAAAAACAAACAGGTTAACAAATCACAAGAAACCCAACCATACATACACACACACACACACACACACACACGCAAAACCTCCACAAAAATCAGAAACCATAGTATTCAAGCAAAGACCAATAAGACCAAAAGAAAACAGTTTCAAACTAAGGAAAAACAAGACATGAAAAGTCTTCAAAAGAATGGTTGAGTTTGTTTGTGTTGATTACCTACTGCTAGGCCTGGGGCCCATCCTAAAGTGTGGTTTCTATACCTAGTTAGACTGCATTGGAGAAAAGTGAGTTTTCTTTAGCAAGCAAGTGCCAGTTGCAGATAGCGTCCTGCTTAGGGGTGGGCACTCCATATCCATTTCCCCATCTTAGTGCTGGGACCCCATCTGTTTTGAACTAATTTGGGCCCTGTGCTGCCATTTTCTCAGAATTCATCTGTTCATCTGACCTGTTGTGTCTGGAGGGCCCTCCTTCCTTGGAGGCTTCACCCCCCTGGTCCTAAAAAGCTTTCCCTTTCCTCATATACAGAGATCTCTGGGGCCACAGGGAGGCTTTCATAACGATTTCCCATTTAGGACTGAGTGATCCAAAGTCTCTCCCACTGCATTGTCCAAGGTTGGTTCCTGGCTCCTGCAAGAGGAAGCTTCTCTATGAGAAGATTCTTAAAATTTTTCATTTCAGGTTAATGAGGTGAAAGTTACAAATGCAAATTTTATTCTTACTATGTTAAACTTATTTCTGATAAATGCGTATACTCATGTCAGTATGACCACAGTCAAGATAAGGAGTGCTGCATCATCCCAGAAAGTTCTCTCATGCCGTTTGCTCAGTCTACCCATGTCACCACGCCCAGTCTAGCTGGCACGCCCAGTCACCACTGCTGGCAGCAGTGGTCTGTACTTCCTCAATACAGCGCTCTGTTTCTGCTTCTTCCCTGAGCTAACACTGCTAAGGTCTTGCCCGCTCTGGTTTGCTGTTTGCTGTTGAGCAGTTCAGTGCATGACTCCTCACAGGCCCTTCAGTGGCTCTAGTCGCTGGGAGCTGTAATACAGTAACCTTTTCACTAACATTTGTGGTTCCTATTGTTTGTGGTCATGATGCATTTGCTTCTCTTGGGTAAATGCCTAGAAGTGAAATTGACTGCTGTTGTTTTCCAAAGTGACTGTTTTCTTCAGTCCCAAGTGTGTGCTTAAAGCCCTTTCTTGCACCTGTCGGACTTTGCTTAAATTTCTCTTAACACAGCTGTGCTGATTTCTTGTGTTTTTCTGAGCTGAGAAAATGGTCCGCCTTCATTTCAGGAGGTAGTTCTACTTCGCAGGTAAGTGTGGGCTGAGCTTGCATAGTTTCTGAGCAGTTTGCTCTACTTTTTGCACTTGGTCTTTTGTTTGTAAGGTGTGTGTTTTCTCTGTTTTGAGGCCTCTGCTTTTGGTTTTCAGCAGGTTGGCTGTTAATCCTGAGTTAGCCCACCTGGACTGCTATGGCGTGATGCCTTCCTTGTTCAGTAGTTTGGTGTCCTTGATTCTTTTCTAGGAATCCTGCTATCCCCACACATCCTCACTTTGTGTTCCTTTCTGACTTGGTAGACACGGGCAGCTGCTCAGGTCAGATGCCCCGGCCTTCTGTCCCAGAGCCTTTGCACCTTTCCTTCCTTTCCTTCCCCTCCTTTCTCCTTGTTTAGGTGACTTTGCTTGTCTGTCTGCAGGACTGCCTGTCAGCTGATGGCCCTGTTTTGAAGGGTTCTTCATTTCCAGTACCATGCATTACAGAGAAATAGTTTGCTCTGCTGTTGGCTCTACAGAAGCTTCCTGTCCTTTAGGACCGCTGGCTCCCTCTGGCAGTCCTTAGCAGACTAAGTCAGAGTCTCAGGACAACACTTGTGAATTTAATTCATTGTTTTTGTGCCTGAAAAATGGGTGTTGTGGTCATCCATGTCTCCTCCTCTTCCTCCTCCTCTGGCTTTCATGTTTGTCTTCTTGTCATACTTGACTAGAACTATAAAGGCTGCGATAAATAGTGCTTATGTCATCGCGGGGAACTGAGTTTGGACGGAAGCTGTGCTTGGCTGGGTTTTATCATTGCTGAGATTACTGCTTGCCCAGGAGCCTTCCAGTTCCTCCGATTGGGCTGGTTGGGTGGTGCCAGTGTGGGAAGTGGGGGTCTAGCGACCTGGGGGTCTTATTGATGGCATTCTTTACCCTCAGTGTTGTGTTCTGTCACCCAGGACACGAGCCACATGGTGAGACTCTGGGTACACTTGCTTCCCCAGAGCTGTCCTCGCTGCTGCTCCTTCCTCCTTCACGACTCCACCCGCTGTGGCTGGCAGAAGTCCTCCACTTCCAGGTGTGGAGCTTTTCACCATCCTGTGCCTGGGGCAACACTTTGCTTTTTACCAGGAGGCTTCAGAACTGTGGAGACAGATCTGTTTATACAACAGATTCTACAAGGCCAGCAGGAGGATGCTGGCCACAGCAGCTTAAAATAAGGCAGAATTTTTCAAAACTAGACTTTGGATTTATTTTTTTAAATTTCATTTATTGACTCTATTCCTATTTTTAAAACTGTTTTAGTAATCTTTGTTGATAATGTTTTTTAAAAGGGGTCATTAGAAGGGGTCAACTAGCTTCACATCATGGAGTAAAAATCTGCAGGTAAAGCTGAGCACCTCGTGCATAAAAACTCCCCTAGATAGAGTGGCTGGAGTGTCCGCGGGCCAGAGGGAAAGGTGCACAAGTTCCTGTCCAGAGTGCTTTCATTCTTCTGCCAGCACCAGCAAGGTAGATCGCTGATGAACTCAAGTTCCTGGTCTGGCTGTGAGAGTTTTTAAAGCATTACTTAACCTCTCTGAGTTTCCGTTCCTTCGTAAAGGAAGATGATGACAGTAGGATTCCCCGAGCTCAGCTCCCTCGCCAGAATGCATTCTCACGGTTATTTTTATTCCCTCACCGATTGGTGTTTCTCAGAAACTCCAAAAGACCAGACCATAAGCTGACACAGCCTGTACATTTGCTTCTACCTCACTGTTGGAATTGTAAAGGAAACCAGTGTGCAGGCCAAGAACAGACAGTTCCCACACTTTCTGACAGGCGCACTTTGACCCTTGCTTGTGTAATGAACCACTTGAGCTGACCTGCCCTAGTTAGAGACCCAGACTGCAGAGACCGCATTGATCCTTCAGACAGGTGTGCTCCAGCAGAGCCCTCCTTTGCAAAAGTAGGCTTTAGTCGAAAGACTCCGAAGTTGAAAGTAAAATTTGCCTGATTCACCTATCTGAACGTTTCATCTCTCTGGTGCCATGTTTCTCTTTTGGCTTGTTTGGGGCAGGGTGTTGTTTGTGAGGCACAATCTGGCCTAGAATTGACAGTGTCCTGAACCCTGTGATTTTCCTGCCTTGGCTTCTTGAGTGTTGGGATTACAAGTGTGCTCCACATACCCAGCGAGAGGCGGGGCCAGCCTTAGTTGTGAGCAGAGTGACAAGTCAGCTCAGATGTCTGTCTTTGAGTTGCTCTGAAGGCGCCTTAGGCTCAAACTGATCCAATTCCTCATCCATTTTATATGAGGAGCCAACAGAATGTGCTAGTGAATTGTGTGGCCTGTGAGAGAAAGTGTCAGGGAGGGTGACATCAGGTTTCACAACCCAAGAAACAAGATGGGAAGCCGAGTTGTTCATAATGGTCCTGTAATGGTGGTTGGTGAAGAGGGCATATGCATCTCTTGTGTGGTGTATACTTGTGCGGTGTTGTTGGCCCCGTTACAATCACACACCGACAGACATTCTGCAGATAGTTTATTCTCTGAGTGCATCCCTAACTTTGCTGAACTCACTTAGAATTCTAACCCTGCCACCTGCTGATGCTTGCAGTTCCACTTAAAATATTTACCTGTTGTTCCACATGCTAGGCCTTCATCTGAGGTTCTATAGAGGTAATGATAAGGCTCTTGTTGTTGTTGGTCTCATTTCTGTTGACAAGGATGTGCTCGTAGTGTTTCTTCATTAACTATGATGGTTGCTATCAATTCTTTTGAAAGTATTCTTTATCAAATTAAATAGGTTATCTGTGGATCTTAGTTTCCTCAGGGTTTTTAAAACTAGAAACATTAAAAGGTACTGAGAGACTGTATTTTCATATATAGCTCGAGAAGTCTCAGCCCTTTGAGACACTAAGCCTAGCTCCATTGTAAATTATCTGAAAAAAAGCAAAGTGAAATCACAGATGTGTAATTCAACTACACTTACATGTCTTTAACATTTAAAAAAGAAATAGAAGTGACTTATAATAAAAAAAAAGGATTCATTCTGTGAATGCTCTGGCATGGCCTGGGTTACCATACAAGGTAATGTCTGTCTCTTGTGTAAAGCTGGCTTTAGAGTGAGATTTCACTCCCTTCAGTGTGCTGATCTTGGAGGGAGTAGCACAGGTTTGCATTGATAGCAGACTTGTTTGATTGGAGACAAATTATTAGCAGTATTAGGAAATATCAACCTTCATTAGGGTAACTTCAAGGCTTCTGAATGTACTAGAAAAAAGAGAACATTTTTCTGCTGTTGACCAGGGGAAAGGTTACTTACTCAGTAAGTGTTTGCCGAGCATCTACTATGGGAAGCCGCTGTTGTAGTTGTTGACAGTGAAGCTAAATGGAGCAAAGCTTCTTCTTTCTTTGAAGTGCTGAATGGAGGAGAGCAGCAAGCAAGCAAACTGCACACAGGATGGTGACAGGCACCACAGAAAATAGTGATGCAGGGTAACAGGCACAGATGTGTGTGTATGCGCGTGCATGCATGCACGCTCGCCACGAATTCACTCGGTCATGAACAAGCTGTGTCAGGTAGGGAAGCAAGAAAGAAGTCTTGAGTTGAGTTCCATGCTAGGGGCTGAAGGTGAAAAAGTCGTAGAAGGAAGGAAGAGGAACAAAGTTGGTGTAGGAACTGAGCAGATGTGTGGTGCCCAGCATGTGCTGGTACTGTGGCAGTACTTAACTTCCAGAGCCTCTGCTCATCGTCCAAGTCATCTTTTGAGATTGGCAGTCATAGCATCGCAGAAATTTCAGCCAGTATTCAAATCTGAACTGTTTGGCTCCTCAGCCATGGGAGTAACACTTGTTTCAGAGGCTGTCACAACTCGAGGTGCATAATTTAGATCCATTAAGAGAATTAGGAGGGCTTCAGACTGTAATTGTCTACGGTTCTTTGTGTGTTCGTACTGGATAAATACAGGCTGTGGAGTATCATGAGTGGGGAACATTCCTGATTATGTAAAGTATTACTCATTTGTGTTTTTTATTTATATTTCTTACTGAAGCTTTTATTGTATTTTGTTGTTCATTTCCTTAGTTAATAATGCCATTATCTAATCAGGAGCATGAACTCATTGTCATTGATTGATGTGATGAGTTATAGTCATAGATTTGTGACGGCTTTAGCACAAGTGAGCAGTTGTAAACTGAGTGTTTTGTTGGGTGTCGTCTGTTGTGGGACAGCAACAGTCAGTGCTTCTTATGGGATTAACAAACTTAGTGAGAGAACCGTGCCATACTCTTTACCCTCAGTGCCAGCTGCTCTAGGACTTGTGAGCTTGTAGATGCAGTAGTGCTTGCCTAATGCAGCATGCTGTAAAGGTGAGAGCCAGTGTATGGAGTAATGGTCGTGGCTGGCATTTGAGTGTTGTTGCCTGTAAGTACTTTTCATCCGAATGTCATTATATCTGAAATAACGGAATATTTTATTAGCTTAGGTGACAGTCATGTTAGTAGTCTCAGAGAGTAGTAGACCTAGAATAACTGAAGGAGCAGTGTGGTGTGTGAAACATTAGTTGTGCAGGTCTTTTGATCTGGTTTTAAAGTGATAAAGCAGAGACTGAGTCCCCATAATACATGGACAGCGGTGTGCCCTTTGGTACGCTCGCATCTGCAGACGTGACTGTGTGAAGGAGGTAAACTGAGATACTTTCTATCGTAGCAGCTAAGAACAGAGAACATCAGCACATCAGAGCCAAAGCATAGATTTTTCTCTCGCCCTGGCTTGGGCCCAGAGTCCAGTTCCTTCCTTTTCTAGTCAGTGGCCTGGCCTGCTGACTTCTCTGGACATAGTCGCTCTTCTGGAGTTAGGCTTTCTACTAGAGAAAACCGTAATGAGTTTTGGGGAAGCACCTGGCATTGTAGCATCTGTAATTATTTGAGAACCATCATTATTGTGGGTTGTCTTTGTTGTTACTAGACTAAAAGATGCTTAAAAATTATTACTAATTAAGGAAGAAATATCCTTCTCATCACAAAATACTTGAAGTTAAAGAGATTACAAATAAAATGACTTTCTATAAGATAATGTCTTACCAGATTTCGTTAGTTAAAATGTCTGCTATTTCAGAATACCTCCTAGTTTAATTAAATCGGTTAACTGAGTTAATCTGAGAAGTAGAACTTTGTTCCTTTCTAATAAGTGTGACATCATTCATTGTCTAGAAGTAGAAGGAGAAAGCGGTGCCGTCAGCAGCTGTACTATAATGCATTGTCCTCTTGGTCTGATAGGCCAAGGCTGAGAGGTGGCTCTGCCGCTAAAGAGCTTGCCATGTGGTGTGAGGATCTGAATTCATCTGCAGCACCCACATAAAAGCCCGGCCACTGAGGCATGTCCCTATAGTTCCAGCACTGGGAGACTGAGACAGGAGGATGCTTTGGGCTTTCCAGTAGTCAGCCATAGCAAGCTCCAGGTTCAGTGAGTGCCTGTCTCCTAAGTGAATGAAATAGAGCGTGACTGAAGAAGACTTAACATTGACCCCTAGCTTCCACGTACACGTGTGCACTTTCCCACAGACACTTCCATAAATTCTATAACCAACTAGACAAATGGATTTTTAAATGACTGTTGTACTTTGTATCTGGATGTCAAATCTCATATGGTCATAAAAGACACATTCCTTATACTTTTTATTGTTATTTTGTTTTAACACAGGTTCTCCACTTTGTAGCCCAGGCTTGCCTGGTACTCGCTGTTCAGTCTGACAGGCTTCCAGCTTGAGCTGTTCCCCTCTGGCCCTGGGCTCCGGGCTGCAGACTTGTGCCACCGCCCTGCTCTGGAAAGCATCTTTTCTTGCATAGAAATTGCAGGGTTTTCCTACATAATATCAGCCTACTTTTTTGTGTCACAAAGCTTTGTTTATGAATCAGTGTTTAAAAACATTGTTTCCAGAGGTGCAGGTTGACATTCTGCTATTAAGAATGTGTGGATTTGATTGAAGGAAATGGAAATGCTAATGGCTTCGATTTTGTCATTACACTTTGTAAACATGTATTGAATTATCACCTTGTACTGCATTTAATTAAAAACCATTACAGCTTTGAGTCCTGGTGAGAGTGCGGCAGGTGAGAGGATGCTCTGTAGAGCGATCTGTCACCAAGGAGCATTTTCCAAAACCATCTGACTTAAAAATTAGTATCAGCCATTGAATTTCCATTTCTGAGAAGTGTCATACTAACCTGATATATATATATAATACGTGCAACTTATTTTTTTTGAAGGTTCAGAGGTCCAAAGAAATGACATCCTGTGGATAGCCATGGCCGGGACTCATCAAATATGGGCACTCCTCCTGGACTCTGGCTCCCTGCCAAAGAGAAGGCAAGTGACCACTGTGCCTCTTCGGGGTCCTTCGGGCGCCCTTCCCCAGGTCACCATCCCCATAACACCTGCTGCTAGGCCTGTCAGCATGAGCTGACCACACACCGTAGGAAAGCTTGCACTCATGTAGAGTCCCTGGGGAGCACTGGTCCCCAGGCTGAGGAAGCAGCTGCTGAGAGGGGGAGGCAGTGAGTCACTAACTGGCTCTCTAAGCTGCTGCTCAGAAATGACATATATCACTTGGACTTGTATTTCGTCGGGCATGGTTAAGCTTTGTGCCTGCATCTAATTCCTAAGAGCCTAGGGGAAGCCTTTCTTCCAAGTGCCTAGAGAGAGAACTAGAAATGATAGGTGGGGCTTTAATTCTTTGCCACATAAACACAGAACAAGTGTCTGTAGTCACTCCTTGAGGTGGCTGAGTGCTGCATGGCAGAGTGGTTACCACTCAGACGTAGTCAGGCCTGAAACAGAATCCCAGCTATTACTTACTGTGTCAGCATAGGAGAACTTAGCTCTCTGTCGTTTTCTGTCACCGCGTGTGCTTGGGTCACCTCATGGGATTGCTGTGTGAAGAGTTTAACATAGTAGCATTGGCACATACAAGTGTTTGCTGCCACTGTTGGGCCTGTGAGGATGGGAGGCAGTGTCTCTCCACTGTCTCCTACTTCTGCCTCAGCCTCAGGCAGAGCTGGCCACTCTCCTTTGTGGCTTCACTCTGCCTTCTCTCTCACCTCTCTTCTCTTGGCTCACACTTATCTTTATCTTGTTCTTCTTACTAGACTACCTTGTAATGAAAGCAGTCTTGTCCCATTATGGTTGGTTATCTAATACAGAACAGCTCAGTAAGAGCTTTAGAGTAAGAAACGGGTGAAAGTCCTGGCAATGTTTCTGTTGGGATAAACATTCTGCCCAGAAGCAGCTTGGGGAGGAGAGGGTTATTTCAGCTGACAGGTTAGTCCCTCCTGGAGGAGCTTGAGGAAGGAACGTAACAGTGGCCATTAGGAAAGGCTTACTGCCTGGTCCAGTGTTCTTTCTTACACACCCCAGTAACATGTGTCCTGGAGTGACATCACCATAGTGGGTCCTTTGATAACAGTAATCAGTCAAGAAAATGACCCGTGGGTTTGACCACATGGCGGTCTGATGGAAGAGTTTTCTCAGCTGAAGTTCCTCCTTCTCAAATGACTCCAACTTGTATCAAGCTTACAGAAGACTGACCAGAACAAAACCATAAGCCATAAAGTTATGTAGCCATTAGAAAGTAGGTACTAGCCTGTTGCATGAATATAAAAACTTAGTGTCAGATATTAGGGGGTGAAAGCTGAGAGATCAGAGAAGCAGTGCAGCCAGCCACTAGAGAGACCTTTTACCTCTACGCAGTCCTCTGACCAAAAAGGTGATCCTGTCCTTAGACTCCCTCCTCAGACTGCAGGGGCGATCCTCAGATCGTATCCTCAGACTGCCTACCTAGATTGTTCCTCACACTGCAATGAGCTCCTGTCTCTATCTGATTTATAGTCCTCTCTCAGCCCAACCATATCCCTTCCTATCTCCACCTTCCTAGTGCAGAGATTAAAGGTGTAAACCACCACTGCCTGGCCTCTAGTGGCTTAGCTCTGTACTGTGATCTTCAGGTGAGCTTTATTTGTTAAAACACAAACAAAATATCACTACATCCCCCCCTTTTTGCCTAAAGTAAAAAAACAGTTATAACTTATTAACGAATCAATCCCACACCAGTTATGTTTTAAGGGGTTATTTATTTGGCGGGGGGGGGGGTAAAACTTACATACACCATAAACCGTCAGGAAGGGAGCCTAGTCGCTGGAGCAGGAGCCGGGAGCAGCAGCCGAGACCGAGCACCGGAACCAAGAGCCGGAACCAAGAGGGCCTATTCCGGATCTGCTTCTCTTTTTAAAAGAGAAATATACCACGCCCCAGTGGGCTGGTATTTCAGCAGCTATTGGCTGACGGAGCGGAAGTCGCTCCCCGCTGCACTGTGGGCTCCTGCTTCAGTGATTATTGGTTGAGGCAGCGGAAGTTACTCCCACAACAATAACTAATGAAGGAAAAACTATATACAATAAATACAATAACTATGTACAAGATATACAGGCAACAAGTACATCAACAATGTCTAGTCCATTTGCATTTGTCCTATTCAGAGAACATGCTCCATTATCTGTCCGATCTTGGTGAGTCCAAAGTGTTGTACCTAATTCACTTTCTAATCTAACTTGCATTACGAACTCAACATTATCTTTTTATGTCTCTCAGTCTTATGTACTTTACATTTCTTTAGTGAATTTCTTTTCTGAGTATGGTAAACAAGGAGACTGTAACCTCAGAGACCCAAGAAGGAAAAAACATTACCTGAGTAAGCAGAAAATGCAAATAAGTGACTTCCAAAAACTGTGAGAAATGACAGAAACGGCTGCCTAAACAGTCACCCAAGGTTTCTCTGCAATGTTGGGGCATCTATCCATCTTCAGCCTGCAGGCCTAGATATTGGACAGACTTTTCTATGAAGCAGGGTTTTTGAAGGACTGTCTCATCTGTTCTTAGCAAGGTTTTGCACTCACTCCCTTTTGTGTCCTGCTTGTGCCAGCGACAGAGGGAAGAGCACTTTCTTGCCCACTATGTTTCTTTTGCCACAAACAAAGTAAATTCCACGAAGAGTTTCTTCCATGCCCATCATTTTCTCTGAAGTAGATTCGTGCTGCCAGGAGCAGGCATGTCTCATTGTCATAAAAGAAGGAACCTATGTTATTGAAACATCTTAAATGACATATTCTGTAGACCTCTGAAGTGTTTGAAGACAACCTATTTAAAATATCTCTGTTTAACTTTGAAAACATAATTAATATAGATACGAGGGTTTTTTGTTTTGTTTCGTTGTTGTTGTTGTTGTTGTTGTTGTTTGATCAGAACAGGGTTTCTCTGTATAGTCCTGGCTGTTCTGAAACTCGCTCTGTAGACTAGGCTGGCCTCAAGCTCAGAGAGATCCATCTGCCTCTGCCTCCCAAGTGCTGGGATTAAAGGCATGCACCACCACTGGGCTCATCACCGTTATCTTTATCAGTAGAAAGGGATAGCTGTCTAGCAATCAAGATCTCAGATGTCTAGGGGTGGGTGTGGAACACAGTTGTGGAATGTTTTATAACAGTCATGCATCTAGAACAGTGATTCTCTACTTGTGGGTCATGACCCCTTTGGGCCCAATAACTCTTTCACAGGGGTCATCTAAGACCATTGGAAAACACAGATATTTACACCATGATTCATAACAGTAACAAAATAGAGTTATGAACTAACACTGAAAATAATTTTATGGTTGGGGGGTTACCACAACCTGAGGAACTATATTAAAGGGAAGATGCATGAAGAATGTTGAGAACCACTGATCTCAAACATTTGTTAAATATATTTCTGCTAGGTACCATATTGGGCAATAGAGATGAAATGATATGCTCTCTGTTAAAGCTGAAATGAAGGCATGCCCAACCTCAGAAGAACTAGCCATCAGTGAACAGTGAAAACTGGAGAAATCCTGTGTCGTTAGAGCCTCAGCAGTAGGTTCTGAAGTACCTGGAGGACCGCTGCAATGGAGTCCTTCTAAGAGACTGGAGCATTCCAGAAGCTGATGTAGAAAGTTGTAAGCTGGGAAGTGACTTGGGTAGATCTGTGTTCGTGAGAGAACCCTTCTAATATTCAGAGTGGAACAAGGTGTGACTCAGGAGGCTGTAGCTGTCTTCCAGGCCAGAGACAATAGTGACGCGAACATTGTGGTCACCAGTGATACATGAGGTGTAACTATACCAGTACCCACAAGAGACAGCAGCAGAATATGCTGTTAGGGCTACCTGCATCTCGCCGTAAGAAGGGGTGTCACTATTTATAATAGAAAAATGGTTGCTCACGTTACATTGATCTGCATCTTCATTTTGTTGGTGGATTACTACAAAGGTAGTACAGCACTCCACAGATTGTGTCTAGTGTAGACTCGCAGGTAGTAGTGACCCCTAATGCTTTAGTGTCCCTGTTCATCCACTTCATTATCACAGCTTTCCTGTATGTTGTGACTTCCTCCTTGCAGTGTAGGTCTTGTACATATTTCTCTGGCCGTGTTTCGTGCATTCTGTGCTCTTGCCTTCCGTCACCTACTTCTTCACATTGGACTTCTGTATGATGTGCCATGTTTGGAGATGGAGTACAGTCTCTCACTTGCACTGAAGTCGGCTTCCTCTTTCTCAGTACCATGTCTTCTTAATCCTTTTGGCATAAATTTAGAAATCAAGGTGTAAACTTTCTCTGCATTACAAAAGGAATCATCGCAGTGTTTCTTTTCAACTTTTTGAGACATGATCTCCGCAGCTGTTGCAGTGTGTGCCACCGCACCCTTCTGCACTGCCTTCGGTAGGCTGTCCACAGTGTACAGAGGAGATGGGTCGGTACGCTTGATCGTCTAGTGCTGCAGAGTCATTACGTTGTTTTCTGAACTTGGTCATGCTTGTAGAAGACACAGGCATTTTTAAAGAACACTAAAACTTTAAACTATCCAATACTCAACAGCCTCTTTATTAATAAATTCCCTTCTAGAATTGCTATTGTATGAAACTAAGAAGTTAAAATGAGTATAAAATCTCATTATTTCATAATAACCTGATTGTTAATGTTGATCCAGGGATTTCTTAATGTGGTATTGGAGGGCGACTTCAGTAGTTAGCATACTGAAGAGAAGTGAGCACTGCATGGTGGCTCAGCAAGAGCATGGCTGGACGGACACAGTAGTGGACAGGACTGCTTCTGTGCCTCTGTTTGCTCCTTTAGTAACTTGTCGATCCCACCTGTGCTTGTCTTTCAGCGAGCTAAAGAAAGGAACCTGCCTGCGCTTTGCTGGGAGTGGCAATGAAGAGAATCGCAACAATGCATATCCTCACAAGGCGGGCTTTGCCCAACCTTCAGGTCTCTCTCTAGCCTCAGAAGATCCGTGGAGCTGCCTCTTTGTGGCGGATAGTGAGAGCAGTACAGTGAGAACCATCTCACTCAAAGATGGAGCCGTGAAGCACCTCGTAGGAGGAGAACGAGACCCCATGGTAAAGAAGTCACTATGTGCAGTTCTCTGGATTTTGAGTTATTCATAAAATTTAGGAGGTTCATTCCTGGCCTATCTGTGATAGAATGTAGTTAACTCAGAGACAGTGACTGTAGAGGAACTCAAGTGAAGGCCTCAAAAAGGGAGCCTGCCTGATTACACGTAATGCCGAGGCTCCCTTAGAGAATCTGATAAAGTAGCTGCTACTGGACAGGAGAGAGACTGCATTGTGTGTAGCGGTGGACTGGACAGAGCACTAGACTGCAGACTTGGCCTATTGCTGAGCAGACGCTGGCCTCTGTGAGTGCCACAGCAATCAGCCCGCAGACCCCTCGCTGCAGCTCTCCAGTCTGCGTCACACGCCCAGCTCCCCACGGAAACCAGAGCTTCCCCTTTAGCTTTACTAACACGATGACCTTAGTTTTCACTTTATCTAACAAAACACTGAAAGTTTTTAATAACTGCTGTTTCTTTCTCTTTAAAAAATACAATAAAAGAATTTATTTGCTTTTGGTGATATTGATGGAGTAGGCATCAATGTGAAGCTTCAGCATCCGCTCGGGGTTGCATGGGACGAGAAGAGGAATCTGCTCTATGTGGCAGACTCCTATAATCATAAGGTGAGTCTCAGCTGAAGACACAGTGCTTGCTTTTGACCCAGGTGCTACCTACCAATGCCACTGTAGTGCAGAGAGCAGCTGTAGCCCCGGAGCCTTGTGGTGTCTGAACTGAGGCTGTGACATAAATGTATGAATTGTGACCCATCATAGCTACTCGGTAAGGAAGTCAGGAAACAAGGAGCCGCGTTAGGGAGAGTGTGAGCACAACTGTTGTAGCTGCATTTTGTTGCCACGGTAAAACTGACCAAAGGCAGCTGAAGAGGGAGATTCATCTGGCTCTTCCAGGTTAAGGCCATCCCAGAGGGAAGTCAGGGCAGGAAGTGAAGGCAGGCCTGCTTGCTGACTTGCTCACAGACCCAGGCTCATCTGGCTTTCTTACATCACCCAAGATCACCTGACCAGGGATTGGCACTACTCATAGTGGGGTGAGCCTCCCCATATTAGTTAACAAGAGAGTCTCCTCACAGACATGCCCACTGGCTTTCCTTGATTGAAGCTCCCTTTTCTGTTGACTCTAGAGTGTGTCAGGTTGACAGTTACGCTGATGGGGGCACTAGCAGATGAAGAGTTTTGAACTGTGGCATGGTGACAGTGACCATGAACAGTTAAACCCATCCTGAGCAACTTTTCCTCTTCCGTCTGGTTGTCTCTGCTCTTCCTGCAGAGTTCTATGTGGCAGGACTTCAGTTTAATTCCGGGGGGGGGGGGGCACATCCTGAAATTAACAAGAAACTATGATATAACTAAGATTTTATAAAGGTTTTACTGGGAATGAAATAGCTCCCTTTTGATGATGTAATCCGGATGTTGGGGAAAATAGGAAATATCTACTGTTTGAAGATGTATTTGTCAAGAATGCTAATAACAGCCAGGAGTCCTGGCTTCCCTGGCACTGCTGTAAACAGGGCTGACTGCAAGGGAAATGTTTGCTCATTTTTCTTTAGATCAAAGTTGTGGATCCAAAAACAAAAGTCTGCTCAACGCTAGCAGGTACCGGAGATGCAAATGATGCAGCTTCCAGTTTTGCAGAGTCAGCTTTTAATGAGCCTGGAGGCTTGTGTGTCGGTGAGAGTGGTCGGCTGTTATACGTAGCGGACACTAATAATCACCAAATCAAAGTCATGGATCTGGAAGCAAAAACAGTCTCTGTGGTGAGTTATCTTAAGGCTTAGCTTAGCGGACGTGGGTGTAGGGGCAACTGAGCTTTAAGGCGCTGGCTTGGTCATCTCTGATGTGCACTGCGCACATGGAGTGCGGGAGCCGGAAGTGGATGCCCCTGTTGTGTTCAGGGACAAGCAGACCAGGGACTTGCTTTGAAGGTCTCCTGTTAGTCTTAAAATAGATGTTTCCATCTGTTGCAAGTGTGTGAGGAAAATGCTGGACTTGAGAAATGGGTCTGTTTTTAATGCATAGAAGTCATGACACACTGTGTTTGTGTGCCATATGGCCTTGGTTTTTTTGTTGTTGTTTTGTTTTGTTTTTTTCAGTGATCCTTAGGTTATTTCTGTCTGTCTGTTTTCTGTGGTGAATCCATTACCAAGTCATCTTCTGGGGGAACCTCTAGAAGTCACAGCTCCCCAGCCTCTGAAAAGGAGACAGACTGGGGCAGATGTGACCAAGTTCAAATTTGTTTTCAAAAAGGCAGTGTTTCCTGCTGCCTTATTAATGTATCCTATTTACCTGGATGGGAGGGGGGCTTTTTATTTTTATGAGGTGCTTTGTTTTAAAATAAATGCCACAGAATGGCAGCAAAAGTATCGTCTTTGGATCCCTCCTGGTAGTGAAGGTTAGGAGTGTGTATCATCCTCACAGTCCTTAGATTTGTAAAGTGTTGCTTTAGTTTTCTGCCTTGTGTAAGCACGGGGCAGTGGTTGGATGCTGCGGTCTCTGGTGATATGACTGCTGGGGTGAACTGTTGCCCTGTGCTCTGTGGGGCGCTGATGTCATTGATGGAGAATGTCGTGTTTCTGCCCCATCTAAGGTTAGGCTCTCTTGCTTTGGTCCTAAAAGTGCTTCTGCTTTAATAACCCGCCCTCTGGTCTTCTAGCTTCCGATCTTCAAGCCTGACAGTGCTATGGTGGATGGCCCCTTCCCCAGAGAGAAACAGAAGACAGTACCCAAAGTGCCCAAGTCTGCCCCAAACATCCAGCTCGCCCCTGTGACTGTGTGTCCTGGGCAGACTCTGCAGCTCCAGCTGAAGCTGGACCTTCCCCCAGGGACAAAGCTGACGGAAGGTGTGCCCAGCTGCTGGTTCCTGGCTGCTGAAGGTAGGCTGGCTCTGCAGACACAGAATAAAGCCCCGGGGCTGAGCCCATAGCTTTGTTATGTATTTTACTGTGTGTTTGGGCAAGATTTGAGGGAAATTATGTGAAAATTGTGACTCTAGCTGTAACACCGCCTTGATATTTTCCTCTTGGCCTTCGCTGTCCCCTTTTCCCTTTCATTAAGAAGATGTGGCCCACGAGAACCTTCTCATCTAAGAACAACATAGGCTCTGGGAACTAGCCTGCCTACATTAGTCTCCCTCTTCCTGCTGTCCCCAAAAAGAACCCCTTAAACTCTCATCTACAGTCCCAGCACTCAGGAGGCTGGGGTAGGAGGGCTGCAAGTTTGAGGCTAGCCTGAGCTACATCTGCCCACAGAGTGAGAGAGCCAGTCAGAAAACCAAAGTTAAATAAATAAGAATTGAAAGTCTGATGAGAAGACATGAAGTGGAGCTTCCTTGTTTAGGATCCTTCTGTGGCTTTTCCTTCTATGCCTGTGTGTGTCTTGTCTCGTGTGGAGTCGGTATTCTATGTGCTGTTGTTATTGCTGTCAGACATAGCACCATTCTGACAGCGGACAGTGGGTCTACAGAGAAGCCTGGGCTCCCGAGCTCCAGGAGCAGGACTTCTCATCTCAGATGCGCTTCCTCTGCGCTCGACTCCCACGCTCTTTGGCACATTCTCACTCACTCTCTCATTTCCTGAGCTCCTTCTCCCACACCCTCTCACACAGTTCTTCTGTGTCCCCCAGCCCTGGCCTTGAACCTACTCACCTTCACACATTCTCAGACAGAATCTGCGGATCTGCAGTGGTCAGTGTGATGTCCAGGGCAAGGGGACTCTGCAGGTGGCCTGCTGGTTACAGTCTGGACTGACCCTGACGTAGCTCCCCAAGCCTGTGGGAACCGCCTCCTCTGATCCCCACAAGGACGAAGGTTGTACATGTGGCCTAGCTTTGGGGATAAACTACAAACCCTGGGCACAGCACATCCCCTCTGGGCTCCAGGAGGTCTAGGAAGGGTATAGCTATTCTGCCTGGTGTCTACACATAGCAAAGCATCCCAGCAATTGGGGAATCACAGATCACATATTTAATTTCTCTATGTGTAATTAGAGACCAGTATTTTTTTTTAAGTAAGATAATGATAATTAATCTTTTCTGTTTTGTTTTGTCTTTGTTGTTTTGTTTGGTTTGTTTATGTTTTTGTTTTGTTTTGACTTTTCAAGAGGGATTTCTCTGTATAGCCCTGGCCATCCTGGAACTCGCTCTGTAGACCAGGATGGCCTCAGATTCGCCTGCCTCTGCCTCCCAGTGCTGGGATTAAAGGCATGTGCCACCACGACCTGACAACAGTTAGTTTTTTTAATGCTGCATTCTTAAACTCTCAGATAATTGAATTCTGAGTCATTGTCATATACAGTGAAGATGACATTAAACTGAAGGGTCAAATACTTAGATGTTCGTTGTTTGTTTGCATCTCTATTGTCTCTATTTTCACTATATGGGGCAAATAAGCTTTTAGGCAAGAATCCTAGTAACTCAAAGATTCTGAAAGTATTATAGAGCCATGTCTTCACACAGGGATAGAAGATAGTTTCTCTTTGGGGCTGGTTCTTGAGAAATAGTTAAAGTGGCTACAATATGTGAATGTTTTCAAGAACTACATGCATCTTATGTCTTTATAAGTCATAAATGTGATATATATGAAAAATACACAAAGAAATAGTTGGTGTCTTAATTTCTGGATTTTAATGTTAAAATTGTTTTTTTACTGTCTTGTCTGGATTTAGAAGTCACTGCAGAGTGTGTGTGCATTTGTATTCTCCGAAGTTCACTCTGTAGTTTTTAGACTGTCCCTGCAGGTTTTCCCTTTGAGTGAAAATGATCAGCTGTCTCACTGTCCCTGTGCTTGATATTTAATGATAGATGTACTTTGAGCAGGGGTGAGAAGGAGCTAAGGAGCCATAGCTCAAATTCTCAGTTTCATTCCAGTGAAGATCAGTCTGTGGGTTGTGTTGTAGATCTCACAGAAGGGAAGAGCTGCAGTAATGCATACAGAGGTCTTGGAACTTCCTGTCGAGGTCATTGTGTCTCACGCCCATGTGTCATTTTCACAGGCCAAAGTGCTAGCATTCACAGACTTGTAGTAAATACTTGCTGATTAAGAGACACTTTTCTTAGAACTTTCTAGTTTCCTACTTTTATCTTTTCAAATGTATGTACATTACATGTGTGTGTTACATAGTGTGATTACACACACACACGCACACATATGTACATGCACATGTTTGTGTGTGCAAGTAGTTAACTGCCACGTGTCTTTCTGACATCTCTGCACCTAAAATGTTGAGAAAGGGTCTGCCCCTAAGCCCGAGCTCACTGTTCCAAATAGTCTGACTGGTCAGCCAGCATATTCCAGAGATGCCCTGTCCTCTGGGATTGCAGGTAGGTGTCACCTACACCCAGCATTTAGGTGATTTTTGAGGTCTGACCGCTGGTTCTTACACGGGTGTGATGAGTGCTTTGCCTAGAGCTGTACTGGCCTCTTGTGTCTTCTGTAGTCTGTGTGATACTCTCTCCTGTTTTCTAGGCAATGAGTGGCTTCTTCAGGAGCAGATCCCGTCTGGAGACATAGAGAGTATTTCCAGTCAACCCACAATTGCCCTGCGGATTCCTACTGATTGCTTGTCACTTGAAGCTGTGCTATCCGTCAGCGTGTTTCTTTACTACTGCAGTGCAGACAGCAGTGCTTGTATGATGAAGGGGATCCTGTTCAGGCAGCCTTTGCAGATAACTGATACCCAGCCAGGCTGTGGAGCTCCTGTAGAGCTCACACATGTATTCTAGGAGCCAGCCAGGGCCCCTCACCACAGCCCCCATCCATCCTCCATTAAAAATCCATTGCTTAGTTGTAACAACTGATCCCAAAATAAAGTTGCACTCCTTATTAACATTTTAATTCTAAACAAATTGCTTCATTTTAGCTGTATACTAGCCAAGTCATTGAGCATCATTTAAACCACTCTGGCGTTGGCTTTGCTGCTGTTTGACACAAGGCTGCAGTCCATGCCATATTAGAGAACACTGTATTGTGCAGTTAATTCTGATAGCACCGGGTGTTTTATAACCTCTCTGCCTTCATCAGTGGTGGTCAGCCCCCTTCGTGGTCACGGGGCAGACCTAAGCTGTGCACCTTTATGTGAGTCACCTCCACTTAGTGTCTCCAGTCTGTCTGACGCCAGAGAGCACATGAGGGCTGCTTACTGTCTCTTCTGTGTTTTCTCATCTGAGGGATTTTTAAAAGAGAGTTTTAATCTATTTTTATTATAAATTGTTTTAACACACCATTATTAATGCCTTATAACTTTATACAGAAAAAAGAAACAAAGAATTTCTGAGAGCATGCAGACCTCTTCTTAACTATTTTTTTAATGAATATATTCCTAGCAGACAATGCCTAGATTCCCAGAGACGTGCTGACCCTTGAGGTGGGGTTTAGGCCATATTCCTTTGCATGATAGCTTACTGTGATGGTGTAACTTGATGTAAGTGAGTATTATGTTGTGTGGGGAATTTACATTTCAGTTTTAAAAGTTAAATACAGATTTATTGGGTTTGGGATTTTTGTTATTATTTTGGTTCCCATATTTAGAATTTAAATTATGATCATTAATTCTGATATTTTGAAAAAAATCCCAGGTAAACCTTTAAATTGATGTGATCAGTGTAAAGTATCTGATGCAGCTGGGGGTGTAGCTGCCCTTTCATGCCTTGAGTTAAAGCCCCGGTGCTGCAGCAGTGGTTTACTCACTGCTTCCGCGTTTGAGTTCTTCAGCCTCCTTCTTACTGGTGCTGGAGTTATCATAGATGATCATCATAATGGGTTAAAAGCCCGTTTGTTTTTTTAAAACTGACTTGGCATATATTTTATTTATTCAGATTATAAGATTTCAGAAGCATCGGTTAACCCCACCTATAAATTCAATAAGTATCTGTAGTCAGTCTAGCATAGCATGCCCTCCTTTTTCCACAAAGAACTAGATATGAAATGTAATTATTTAAGTATAACTCTACACATATATTGGTTGATTTTTGAAGTAGTTTTCACAGGTAAAACTTATTTGTTTTATTATTGAGTTGGCTAAAAGTTCTCTGGAGTAAGAACATATATATGAGGACTTTAATTAGGATCTGCAAACGCTGCTTCTTGAGAGAAATGCAAATGGAAAGGGGCAGAGATCTTGGTCAGAGCTGCACACGATTGCCCAGGAGACCTTTGCAGCAGAGCGGCCACGGCAAAGGCTCTGCAACCACGTCTATGGCCCATGGGCTGGGGACTGCACCCTCGTCCATTTCAGCCTCCTCGTTGGGTTTGTTGTGTTTCTCTTTTCCAGCTGGGCAGGATGAGAATAGTTTGGCTCAACCGTTCCTGATTGAGGACATAAACAGCATCACTGTCTAGAACAGAGTATGTATGGTTTAACTAATGTAGAAGTAAGGGTTATGCAGTTTTTCACTCTAAAAACACAAGTGTGTATTCTGTAGTTTCATGTACCTTAAAAATTCCCCAAATCCTTTTTAGAATCCCTTGGTTTTCTTTTGTCTGGGCAGAATGTTAGTTTAATGTTCAGTGGTTCCCTGGTCTTCCAAATACACAGTTTGACTCCTCATCCTCACCCCTGCCTTCCTACACTCCTGTTGACACTACAGTATCATCAGTAGTAGTTAGTGTGGGTTTAGGAAACACACACTGAACAGTGCACATAGCTTCCTAGACTCATGGGTGACATAAATGTCACCTAAGGAAACACTGGAAAGTTTAAAAACTTCAGGATGTGCAGTGCCTTCTGTTTTCTCTGTGAGCTGTCTGTCTTACGACCTGTCTGCTCTGGGGCCCCTACTGCTCAGATAAGGATGTTGGCCTTCTGTTTGCAAAGTTGGGAATTTGGGGAGCATGAGAATGTGTGACTACAGTTTTGCCACAGATTGAGAACTGACGGCTACTTCTTGTTTAGCAGCTGGAGAGACTTGAGCTTAGCTGTTGCCATCGGCAGGAGAATGTTTCTCTGCCATGTGCAGAGACCCTGGGTTCAGTCGTCAGAGGGAGAAGAAGAATCATGAAGAGTGAAGTGTTGTAGTGTACAGTAACACAGACATTTGCAGGAGGGCTGTGTCCTTAGTGCTCACAACTGAGCAAACTCTTGATGTTTGTTTTCATTCTACTTCTCTATCTTTCAGTGATCAGCACTTTAGAAAGATCTGATATCTTTAAAGATAAGTCTGAATTGTAATTGCAGCACTAATGTAATAGCTTTTCTAAAGCCTCTTCCTTTACCAAAGATGGGGTATAGTGTAGACTTCTTTTATTTACCAGTTTCCTTTAAAGTGAGTTGGTGAGGAAGGAGTAGTCGTGGTGTTTTGTGGTGTGGCACAGTGTGGTGGCAAGAGCGTGGACTCTGTGGCAGTCTAACCCTGTGAAGCAGGGCTGCCTGGGCTCGCTGCCAGGACCCAGTGAAATGTTCACACGACATTTAGCACGGGGTAATTTATGAACTGCTACTTATCAGTTTTGTTACTGATAATGACAATAATGTATGGTCACAGACACGTGCTTGACATTTTTTTCACAACTCCAGTTTCTAAAGCAAAATATTTCTTCCCCATTTGACATGTTAGTATACCCAGTAGAGTCTGGGCTCAAGAAGAAAAAGGACACTTGATGGTGGGTGTATTACTGTTTCACCACGTTGTGTTCATAAAAAAGGACCTCCATAGTGAAGGGTTTAAAAAGATCTTCTGGGACTTTAACCAATGAATCCATTCCATAGAGAATCCAGACATAGCTGGAAACCTCACCACACTCTTACAATTTATACAAGCATCCTGAGATTGTAACCGGAGTGAGCTGGGAGGATGCTGTCTCTCACCCTGGGATGCTGTTCTCCGGAATCTTCGAAGTGCTTTCACATTTATTTCCTGGGGTGGACTTCAGTACAACATACAGACTAGACAGGTGTGAGCCATGTAGAGACGGGTGCTGCTTTGGCGTGGTGGTAGCCCGTCTGCAGGTCAGGACGCTCCTAGGATGGAGTGCAGTGCTAGAACAGGGCCTAGTAGGTTGGCAGGTGTGATGAGTGTCCTTGACGGTTGTGTGACTAGTGAGCAGCAGGACTGACTGCGGCTCTCACAAGATGGGGAGTGGAGGAGTAATCTGCACCCACCGCCTCAGGCTTTCAGGACGGGGCAGGAGAGTCACAGTCACTGAGTTCTTGCCGTCTGCTGGTGCTTCCCCTGAGTGCTTTGTGTTGACCATGTGTCCTCAGCACAGCCTCACAGTGAAGGATGTCCTTCCGTCTTGAAGCCAGGGTAAACACCCAAAAGCCCAGACCAGACGCTGAGCAAGTGGCAGAGCCTGGACAGTTGTCTGCCCCGCTGCCTGCCGTATTGTCTCTTAGACATGCATGGTTCACATATTTTGTGCCTTTATGTAGTAACTTACCAATCTGGAGAATTCCAGGAGCCCTAGGAGTGATTGTTTTTGAAATTCAAATAATGCCATTTAAATTACGTAGCGTTTCATAGATTCTTAACCGCCTGGGCCTTGGAATGGTATATATAATTTATTTCCCAGAGGATTGTCTGTGCCCCTAATTCCAGCCATTATCCTCAGTTTTTCTCAGCAGGTGTGTGTACAGAAATAGCAGGACTGTCCGAGGGTCTCATCCTAGAGAACAGGGCTGGTGCAGTCCTGAGAAGTGAGGTGTAGAAGTGAGGTCCTCTGCCTTCCTGCACCCTTAATGGTCCTGTGCAGGCGGGCATCCCTGGTGATTCAGAAGTTGTTCCTGACGTCAGCTTAGCACTGAGAGCAATGCTGGTTCCTAATGGGCATCCCAGGGCGGAGTTAAGTGACGTGGTAGTCAGGTAGGCCGTGTGCAGTGAGCATGCTCTACCCGTCCTAGTCACTTACCGTAAGGTAGACCACAGTGCCAATCACCAATTGCTTTTTCCACCTGTGTCCCATAGCCTGAATGAAGAACTGGCACTCACCAAGTCACTGTTCCACCTGACCTTAATGAAGTGTGCTTTTCTCCCATTTCTGTGCAGTAGGGTAATAGAAAGAACGGTCGTAAAAGTTAGAGGCTTTGGGAATTGAGCCACACGGCATTCTATGGCTAATAAACCTTGGCTCCCGCATGTGCTGACTTGTGGTAGAGACCGGCGCTCAGCTCTCAGATGGCTGTAAGAGCGAGCACATGGACTGGGAGACGAATAGGACAAGCTCTCCTGCAGGCTTTCCTGGTGCTGCTTGGCCTTGTTTAATCATTGTCAGAGGTGAGAGGTGAAAAGCTCAAACCCTAGATACTTGTGGAATGCGTGCCTGGGTGTAGTTACTCATTCTCGGTGTGTGCTTTCCTCCCCTGGCACGTCACTCCCGGGTGCCTGTGGACACCCTGCTGTTGACAGCCTTCTGACCCAAAGGAAAGGGCTGCCAGCATTTTCAAGAGCACTTCCCCCGTGTGCACGTCAGCTTTAGGTTAGAAGTGAACACTAAGCCAGCAGCCCTGTGCCACAAGTGTTCTGTCTGCCCTGCCTAAGAAATGGACTTGAGCAAAACTGCTTTTGTATAATCTGAAGCTCTTAAGTGTAGACAAGCCGTTGGTACTCTTAGGATGCTTAATTACAGCTTTCTACTTGAAAAGGAGGGTCAAGATCCTCTGAGATATGGGCAGTTCAAAGGGAATTATTATTCTGTACCTAGTTTCATGAGAAAATAAGTTGAGATAAATAAAACCTAAGGGGGGGAAAACCCACAGTCCCTAACATAGCCATTGAATCATCTTCTCTTTTAAAAATGTGTTCTCCTTCTTTTTAGTTCCACCAGAAACATGAGGTGGTTTTTGTTTGCATAGAGTTGGAATGTCTTGTTGATACATGCCTGTGATGTCACCATTGCCATTT